AGCAGCCTGGAATAAAGCAGAGACGCTGTTTGGGTAGCGTGTGGATGTTTAGCAGTTAACTAGGGGGATTTGGGAGGTGAACTTGAATCAGGTGGGTTGTTGCTTGTTGCCCTCAGTGGGGTGGGACCAGTCAGGCTCTGTGTCTGTATCTGGGGCTATGTACTTACCGATGTATTAAACCTTTCTTTCTCTCCCCCTCTCTTCCAGGGATAATTCAAGCTTTCGAAACACCAAAATCACATTGTGAGAACAAGGCTGACGGTAAATTCCTCTCTCGGTGTGAACCCGCTGAGAGGTCTCCATCCGTGCCCTGCCATTTCTGGAGGGCCGCGCAGGCTGGAGTGATCGCACCACCCTTTTGCACTCAACCCCGGAGGAAGGATTTCATTCAAAGCCCTTCTGCGTCGGTGACTAATAAGAGGCTGACCTTGTCACACAAAACTCTTTTTTCCAATGGCAGGGCGGGAGGCCGACTTTTCAGTTAGCAGGGTGCCCTCCCAGTGCCTCCTTCAGCACTTTCTTTCCTCTTTCCATACCCTGTGCAGAGGATATTGTGAGTCCCATGCTCTTGTGCTGAGGGATACCAGTATTAATGAATCTCTGCGGCCAGGAGAGATGACCCATTGGTTTGCAAATGCCCCCTTTCAGCTCTGCCAATAAATTATTGGGTCTCTGTTTCTTTCAATCTCTCTGGTTTGGTTTGTTTAAGAACAGCTGGGATGGCGACTGTCTAGCTTGGCATCTCCTCCTCTGCCCTTTCACCCCAGAGAGGCGGCCAGCCTGCCTCCTTCCCCTTCCCCATCAATCACCCAGGAACTGTCCCAACAAAGGGCCCGCTTTGCAATCTGGTCCTCTAGAGGAGGCGTGGAGTGCAGCCCTGCCATAACCCCACAGTATTCATTGCAGTCACAGCAGGGATGACTTTAGCTTGAGGCGTTTACCTATAAAAACACAGGCTCGGTCCCCTAGATTGGTGAATTATAAAAATGCCCGGGATGGGTCTAGGTTCCTGTCACCTAGTCAGGCTCTTACAAGTGCTCCTGCCTGTGCACCATCAGACATGTCAATTAGCTGTCCCTTAAATGAGGGGAATGAGTCGCTTCTGAGGCCTTAATTGCCTTGTCTGCAGGACATCATAGGTGGAAAGATCAAATGTGGTGACGGTTACCATGGGGATGGGATTAGGGAAGAGCACCATCTCCTCGCAGCCAGTGAGGGTGGGCTGGAGAAGCAGCTACTGAGTTCCTGCTCTGTCGCTGGGGGCAACCCAGCCTGGAGCTGCCTTCCAGCGTTAGCCGGTGGCTTTGGCTGAGAGCAGGACGTGTGGAGAAGATGCTTAGGGGACCTGGGGCTGGGAATGACACAGCTGCCACCCTAGCGTTAGGCCAATGTTGATCTCGCTCACCTGGGAACGCTCCCTCAGACTCCACAGCCACTAAGGGAGTGGATTATTTCCTCTGCTTAGTGCTGTATCCAAACCCAGTTCTGCTCCAGCCTTTTCCCCTCCTTGAGCCCACAGACTGTAACTGTAGCAAAAACGTTGCTGTTCCCTGGTCAGCCTGAATTTGAGCCTCCGTCAAATTGGAGGAAAGGACTTTGTTAGCCAGTCTCTTTGGCACAGTGTCCCAAAGACCTGGAATTCAGGAGTCGAGGCAGACCGCTGCTGGTTTTTCCTTGCTGACTGCAGAGAACTTCAGCCTCTTAACCCTCAGTTAGCCTCAGAACAGTGAAATCTAGAGCGGGGGGCTTAGAAAATCTTGCTCTTCCTTCTGGAATCACTTACCATCACCCCACGCTCTGGGAGAATCCCGCCTGGAATTCCTGAAAGTGCTCAGGGGGCGGGGGGCTGCTGTTGATCTGCCCGGGCAGCGCGCCCCTGCGCGGGGTGGCTGGATTGGCATGGAAGAGTGGACCTGAAAATCCCCAGCTGCTGGCTTTCTGTAGGCGGGGCAGTGGGACAGATAACCCCTCTCTCTACAGCTGTGCTTTGCGGGACACCTCGTCCCATTTCACCTCTTGCTGCTTGTTTACCCACCACCAGTTGCTGGGGCAGCTCTTAAACAATGGCTCCAGTCCAGATGTAGCTCGTTTCGCCCGATTCTACCAGGTAGCAAACCCTAGCTGAGGCTCTTAAAATGCTCCTTTTTAAATAATACTCTGTCCGGGCGCCGGCAAGATTTGTAAAGGGGATTTATTCTCTGTCGTAATGAGAGACTCGCTGCAGGCTCCTTTGAGCCACATTGCGTTAAGCTTTCTGCAGATGACAGCACTTAAGGTTTTAGTCTCGTTTATAGTCCCAGCTGTGCGCAGAGCCCAGCGTTGCTATTTTATGTGTTTTCAGACTTTTCCCCTCAGACGCACGCCGTGGGAGGCTGAACCCAGGAGCTGGCTTGCTGTTCCCTCTTCCAGGGCAGCAGTCGGGCTGTTTAAATGCTGGTTTAAAGTGAGCCGCCCTATGGAACTGCCATTCTGTTGCCTGGCTGCTTCTCTCCTTCCACGTCCCCTGCTCCCTCTGTTTCTGTTCAAAACATCCGCCCCTCTTGCTCTGGTCGTTAGGGGGAGATTAGTTTGGTCTCTGGAGCTCAGAACGAAAGCAGTCACTGGGGCGAAAGGGAGAGTGTGGGGGTGAGGCGCAGAGATGTCTGTGTGGTGGTGGCTGGTACAAAGGGACATGGTGAGAAGCGGGTTTCGACGGGGCTGTTCTTTTGTACCCTGTTTTGCTGCAGTAATAAAATCCTGCAAGAACAAGAGTGTGGACTGTTTTCATGGAGGGCGGGGAAAGGGCTCGTCTCATCCCTTAAGAGTCTATTTCCAGCTTTCAAATCCACGCCCCGTAAAAATGCCGCCTCCGCCCCGGATGGTCTGTTGAGCCCCACTTCTTACTGAGAGCAGGGGACCATTTGGCCAAACAGCTACTTTCCAAAGACAAACTTTTGGAGAAACCCTCCATAGGCACAACCTTAGGATCAATCCTCTCTTGTGCCTGGTTTGTATTAACTTGACTGACCATAGCTTTAATATCATTTCCAATCATAATATCCTTAGGGATTATGTCTTTTACTCCCACAACCAGGGTGCCTTCCACTCCCTTCCATTTCAGGTGGATTTTAGCCAAAGGCACCCTGACAAAATACTTAGATAAGGCTACAACAGTTACATCTTCACCTGGCAAATAATCCTCCTTCGTGACAAGACTTGCTTTAACCAGAGTAATATCTGCTGCGGTGTCCCTCCATGCCATACACCTCACTCCATTCACTTCTGCACTGCTAATAAACTCTGCGTTATTTCCCCCATATTTAGATTTAATGTGAGTTATTATCCTATCTCCTAGAACTGGAAGGGACCTTGAAAGGTCGTCGAGTCCAGCCCCCTGCCTTCACTAGCAGGACCAAGTACGGATTTTGCCCCAGATCCCTAAGTGGCCCCCACAAGGATTGAACTCACAACCCTGGGTTTAGCAGGCCAATGCTCAAACCACTGAGCTATCCCTCCCCCTCTGCCCGCACCAGCCCCACACTCCCTACCCTGCCTGCAGCCAGCCCCTGCTGCACCAGCCCCGCACTCCCTACCCTGCCTGCAGCCAGCCCCTGACTGCAGCCAGCCCCGCACTCCCTGCCTGCAGCCAGCCCCTGCTGCACCCCCTGCCCTGCCTGCAGCCAGCCCCTGTCTCCAACCAGACCCGCACCCCCTGCCCACAGCCAGCTCCTGCTGCACCCCCTGCCCCAGCCAGCCCGTGCCTGCAGCCAGCCCCTGCTGCACCCCCTGCCCTGCCCGCAGCCAGCCCCTGTATCCAGCCAGCCCCACACCCCCTGCCCGCAGCCAGCCCCACACGCCTTGCCTTGCCTCCAGGCAGACCCTACCTCCAGTCAGCCCCTGCCCTGCCACCGGCTAGCAATGTATGTAATATATAATTTTAATTTTATATATATAGTTATGGAAAGTAAATAATACATGGAAGAAATGAGGGGGGGGTTTACGTGTTTTTTTTAATC